GTCTCTGCCCAGACTGCGAGCGGCCGCCATCCAACAACCCCGATTAACGACGGCCCGCGTTGGGCGCTTAAGCGCATCGACAGGGAACTACTCGAGGAAGCTGCCCTAGTTCAGTCCTGGATCTGGGAGTCGACGACGGACGGCCCCGTCGACGTCGAAGCGGTGGCGCTATGGTTTCGCGGGGCGATGACGCAGATCTGCGACGCGTCAATGCCCCGTGTCCGCCAACGGTCCGCAAAGCGCCAGGTGTACTGGTGGACCGCCGAGATCGCGCAATTGCGCATAGCGTGCGTTGCGGCTCGTCGCCGGTACACCCGATACCGGAGGCGGCGTCGACGGGATTCCGCCGAGGAGGACGCGCTGTATGAGGTGTACCGCGCGTCTAAGGAGACTCTGTGGCTGGCCATCGGCGACTCAAAGTCGCGTGCCAGGGAGGAGCTGCTGGGGTCCCTAGATCGGGATCCGTGGGGGCGCCCCTACCGTTGGATTCGGGGCAAGTTGCGTCCCTGGGCGCCTCCACTAACACAAAGGATGCAACCCCAGTTGCTAGAGTCGGTGTTATCGACTCTCATCCCTGAGCGAGTGGGACACGTTCCCCCGGCGATGGCTTCGCCCTCAGCCACAGACTCTCCAGAAGAGGAGAGCACCGATGTCCCCGAGGTGACGCAAGCAGAGACGAGAGTGGCCGTGTCGCGACTCCGGGCTAAGAACACAGCGCCCGGACCCGACGGAGTTCCTGGTCTCGTCCTGGCTCTGAAGGAGCTAGAGCCCCAGCTGAGAGGGCTCTTCACGGCATGTCTCGAGCAGGGTCAGTTTCCCAGTGTGTGGAAGGAGGGGAGGCTGGTCCTGCTCAGGAAGGAGGGGCACCCCGCGGACTCACCGTCCGCGTACCGGCCCATAGTGCTGCTCGACGAGGCCGGCAAACTTTTTGAGCGTATCATCGCAGATCGCCTCGTCAGCCACTTGTGCAGAGAGGGGCCGGACCTGGATGACAACCAGTTTGGTTTTCGTCGCGGGCGCTCCACCATAGACGCTATTACGCGCGTGAGGGCCCTGGCGGAGGAGACAGTATCCCGGGGTGGGGTGGTGCTGGCGGTGTCCTTAGACATCTCCAACGCTTTCAACACCCTACCCTGGAGTTGCATTCGGGAGGCGCTGAATTACCATCGCGTGCCTCCCTACCTCCGCCGCACAATAGGGGCTTACCTTGAGGAGAGATGCGTTACCTATTGGGGACGTGACGGCGCTGGTTGGCGCGTCATGTCGTGCGGTGTTCCGCAGGGATCGGTCTTGGGACCGCTCCTGTGGAACATCGGCTACGACTGGGTGCTGAGAGGTGAACTCCCGTCGGGCGCCGACTTGACGTGTTATGCGGACGACACGCTCGTCACTGCCCGGGGGAGTTCGTACAGGCAAGCAGCGTTGGTTGCCACGGCTGCGGTGTCACAAGTGGTGAACCGCATCCGGTGCCTGGGCCTGGAGGTGGCCCTAAGTAAGTCGGAGGCCATGGTGTTCCATGGCCCTCGACGCGCGCCGCCGCCGGGTTCACACATCGTGGTCAGCGGGGCCCGGATAGCTGTTGAGTCCACCATGAAGTATCTGGGATTCTGGGAAGTATTTGGGGCTGATGTAAAGGAGGATATGTATTCACTACCTTATATCGTCCTGTGGTGTCGCAAGAGGCGCCAGAGGGAAACAAACCAGGAGATGAACAGCAGCAAATAAAAATCTCCGACTGCCAACCTGCCTCTACCAAGCGTGGCAACTATAGCATATCCCTATGAGGCAATTTATTGGGAAGGCCTATGTTCAGGAGTAGGCGTTTGATTGGCTGTAGCGGTAACGACATGCTACAGCTATATTATGGTTGTAGCAGGAATGGGTCGGCTCGACCGGGGCAGGACCACGCTCTCACAGAATACCTGCGTAAAATAGCAGCTTAACACTGTTGTGTTTTGTATGGTGAGTGTAGAGAACCGGAGACCCTTTTTACTGGATACTAGGTATTCCATCTTAGTCCTCAAGCCACAGTATCCAATTAACATGAGGTGGACTGTGTGCTTGTTTGTCACCCTTATTCCTTTAAAAAAATGTTATTCTGGGTGTTGTGGCCCCTTCTGCTTAGGATTCCATCTCAACCACTCTCTCACCTATTATGCCGCTAAATAACAGTTCTTGCACAATTTTCGCCATTACAGACTGAGGCATCGTTTCTTATTCCTTTTTAGCCTACATTGTTTGTATTTGGCCGCAGATGTCCATGGACTGCAGTAGCTTCCCCCATCAGGTGGACTCCAAGTTTGTTTGTTATTTCAGTTTTATAAAGAAAATATTATCATGGCAGAGTTTTCCCATGCAATCACTATTTATAATAACAATATCCTCCAGACAGAGTTTCGAGCCTCAACGGAGACTAGCCATCGGCGCAGGACAGGATTATAGTGCCCAAGTGTATGCGTAAGCACAGGTGCACTCTCTATACCAGTGGTTCCCAACCAGTGGCCCACAAGAGCCTAAATATGGTCCGTGAAAGATTAAATATTTTACCTTGCTCGACAGCCGATGGGAATTCGGACCCCACTTCCGGCGGCTGGCGCCCAAGCTGATGGGTGCAGCGGGCGCGCTATCAACGTTGCTTCCCAACTTGGGGGGCCCGAGCGCCGCCTGTAGGCGGTTGTACGTGGGAATCGTGCGGTCCATGGCCCTGTATGGGGCCCCTGTGTGGGCGATGGACATGACGGCCAGCACTCTCGCCATTCTGCGTAAACCGCAGAGGGCGATGGCCGTCAGAGTCGTCCGCGGGTATCGCACGATTTCCTACGAGTCGGCTTGCGTCCTGGCCGGATCCCTGCCATGGGACATAGAGGCGAAAGTACTCGCGTTATTATATCGATGGCGCGAGGAAGAGCGGGCACGGGGCTCGAGGCCGGTGCAGCGGCAGATCGCGCTGCGCCGAGAGGAGCTCCGTCAGGTCTTGGTGGCGGAATGGCGGCAAAGGCTTCTGCGCCCTACCGCCGGCCTCGCTACCGTCGAGGCGATCCGGCCAGTACTCGACGACTGGCTCGGGAGAAGGCACGGCTCCCTGTCGTTTAGGGTGACGCAAGTGCTGTCGGGGCATGGCTGCTTCGGCAAGTACCTGCGCCGCATAGACAGGGAGCCGGACGCTCGGTGCCACCACTGCGTCCATTGCGGGGAGGACACGGCGCAACACACGCTCGCCGAGTGTGTAGCTTGGGAGGAGCAGCGCCGTGTCCTCACAAATAAAGTAGGAGGCGATCTGTCGCTGCCGGCCTTAGTGCGGAAGATGGTCGGTAGCCCAGAGTCGTGGGATGCGGTGGTGTCCTTCTGCGAGGACGTGATGTCGCAGAAGGAAACTGCGGAACGGGAAAGGGAGATCTCGACTCCCTTCCCTGGCCGCAGAAGGCGCACCGGGCGCAGGAGAAGGGCGGACAACGCCCTTTTCCGGCCCCCATAAATGGGCGAGGGACTTGGAGAAGCCCCCCGCCACCCCTACTCGATGGACCCGAGGCGGATGCGCGCGCGGGTGTTGGCGCGCGCCCCTGAGGCGATACACGGGGTAGTTGAACACCTCACTACCCCGTGCAGGAGACGAGGCCTGGACAGACCGGTCCAGCACTAGTGTGGGGCTGCGGAAGAACTTGGATTCCCGCGGCCCCATGCGCACGTGTGAGGAGACACCGGGGTGGTTTTAGCCGGTAAGAGTCCGGCACGCCCCTCCGCCTTTCCCCGAGTGGGCTTGGGAAGCCCACTACGGATGTGTGTCGGTGGGCTGCGGTGAGAGGGGTGTCCGCTCCCTCTACCGCTGCAGCCGAGGTGGAGTCGCGGAGGAAGAGGAGTGTTGGTATGGCGATGCGCCACTCGCCCTATCCTCCGCGACTCAAACGGGGCCGCACCGTTGATGCGGTGGTGGTGGGGCGGCGGCGGGAGAGGAGTGTCGGTATTGCGAGGCGCCGCTCTCCCTACCCTCCGCGGCTGAAACTTGGTTGACGGCGGAGCCCGAGACCAGATCCGCCGCTGGGGTCGGGAAAGCGGGCGCTATTAAGCGCTCGATTTTCCGGGCCTCATGGCCTCCGCGTATCAGACTCGGGGGGGTCCGATACGCAAGTTGAGTTGGAGGCTGTGGAGGGGGGTAGTTGAACACCTCGCTACCCCGTGCAGGAGAAGAGGCCCGCACAGACCGGTCCAGCACTAGTGTGGGGCTGCGGAAGAATTTGGATTCCCGCGGCCCCGCGCGTACGTGCGAGGAGGCACCGTGGGGTTTTAGCTGGTAGGAGTCCGGCATAACCTTCCGGTTGCCCCCGCAGCCGGAGGTATCCATGAGGATTTCCCCACGATAAAAAAAAAAAGGTTAGGTTAGGTTAGGTTAGGTTCGTCAAGCGATTCCAGACGAATCTGTCGCTTGACGAATGATACCGGACACTTTTCGTAGTGTGGCCTACATTTGATTTTTATTGCGGCTTCTTTAGCTAGTAGATCCGCTCTCTCGTTTCCCTCCAATCCTGCGTGTGCTTTTATCCAGTAAAGTTTTAGTGTTTTTCCTTGTTTGCACATTTTACTAATATTTTCTCTTATTTCAACCGCTATAGGATGGAGGGAAACGCTTTGGACGACTGTCTGGAGAGCAGATCTAGAGTCGCTGTATATATTACAGCTTTCCGCCGGTTCTTTAAGAGCATGCCTGCTGGCTTCTAAAATGGCTAACAACTCAGCCTGGAACACGGTGCAGAAATTTCCCAACTTTAATTTCCGGTAACTCGTCTCCTCTGCGTTATTCCATATGGATAACGCAGCGCCGACTTTCCCGTCAATCCTACTGCCATCAGTATATATTTTGAGGCCTTTGTGTTGGTCCATTTGTGCACCGTCCTCCAGACATGTGAATTGGAGGCCATGCTGGTCCGCGGGGTGTGGCGTCCTATCAAACTCTACTTTGGTCTCTATTTCCCTATCCCCTACCACTCGCCGGGAGTAACCTTTCTTTATTTCATAAAGCAAGGCTGGTCCAAGGGAAGCAGCCCGGCGAGTAGTAGGGCCGAGTGCAGAGACACAGTTTTGTACGATTTGATGATTTTCTGTACGAACCCGCGCTGTACCGCATCGAACTGTTTTTTAATAATCTGTTTATTTGTTGCCGGTGACCAGGCGCTTGCCGCGTACATAATGATTGGCTCCACTACCGCGATGTAGATGGTCCTAATAATCTCGGAATTCAGGCCCCAATGAACCTTTGCGGCCCTACACAGCTGGCGGTATATGTTTTGTGCTTTACAGCACACATTTTTCACGTGGGTGTTGAAAGTTAGTTTGTTGTCCACTGTGAGGCCGAGTATCTTTATTTCTTTTGACATTACAATGCTTTCCCCACCCATCTTCAGAAGTGGCGAGTCATATTTGATCTTATTAGTGATAACCATTGCTTTGGTTTTCTGAGGTGCGAATTTTAACTTATTTTTGACTCCCCACTTCTGAACCTGTGCGAGGGCTGCATTGACTCTCTCCTGTACTTCCAATGCCCTATCTCCCGAGAATACTAGGACCACGTCGTCCGCGAAAGCATGGCAGTACTCCCCTCTATCTGTTAGCTCATTTAGGAGTGGATCCAACAACAAATTCCAAAACAGTGGACCGCCGATTGAGCCCTGCACGCACCCCTTCGTGGTCTTTTTGACCCATTCTGCCCCTGAGTATCTAATACATACCGATCTGTCATCGAGGTAACTGTCGACTAGTCGCCTCATGTTTATGGGGCATCCGGTTTCTACAAGTGCATATCGTATAGCTGGCCACCAGGCGTTATCGAAGGCTCCCTCTATGTCAAGTGATACTATTACAGTCAATTTTTTATCCTTGATGTCAGATTTTATATGCTGTATCATGTCATAGAGGGAGTCCTCGGTACTACGCTGTGGCATAAACCCATACTGTTTTTTGCTAAGTTTTGGTACGATGTGCCACTTGATTCTCCGTACGATCATTTTCTCTAGGACTTTCCCTAGAACAGGCAGTAGCCCAATCGGCCTGTAAGATTTGGGGTGCGTGTAGTCTTCTTTACCAGGCTTTCGCAGGACTACTACTGTCGCCTCCTTCCATTTACTAGGGAAGTGTGCTAGCTGTAAGCATTTATTGGCTAAAGCCAAGAACAGTTGCGGGTCCAGGGCAATGGCCGCTACGCAGATATCGGCTGTGAGACCATCATTTCCTGGAGCCTTTTTTGGGTTAAAACTGGACGCGGCCCACATAAGCTCCTCTACCGTAAAAGGTGGATCACTTGAATCATCAAGTGACCCTACGTTTACTAACTCCGCTGTTTTCCTTATAAGCTTGTGTTCCGCGTCATCCTCCTGGGTATTGTCGTCCGGATAGAAGGTCTCCGCCAGAAATTTTGCTGATTCTGCGTTCTCTAACGTCTTCCCATCTTTTACAAGAGGGATATCTTCCTGTCTTTGGGTTGTGCGGCCAATTACCCTGTAGATCCCGTCCCACATGGATTCACGGTCCTGTTTACTACAGAAACTCTTCCAGCTGGCGGTCTGTGCGTTCTTTACAAGTTGATGATAGTCATCTTTTATTTTGTTATACTGCTCGACGACCCATTCTCGGCGTACTGGTGCTGCACACGATATTCTTCGTTTCATCCTGGAGACTTCCTTTTTCTTCTGAGTCAACTCTTCGGTCCACCAAGGCAATCCAATTCGTTTTATGTTTTTGATTTTAGGTATACTGCTTTCACAAACTTCTACTATTGTATCTATGTATTCTATTACTTTCGTTTCAAGTTTTTCTCTGGTTTCAACTTTATCTAACTGTATTTTATTTATTTGTTTTCTTTGCCAAATCTGGGTGAGTTTCTCACGAAACTCACTCCAGTTTGTCTTTTTTGTGTTAAATTTTCTAGTGTTTCTCTTTATGTCTGTACTTATAGATTTTTCTAAATTTATCTCGAATAGGATTGCCCTGTGGTCCGAGCTGGTTACTTCTTCTGAAAGTCTCCAGTTGTCTATTCTCCCGAACAGGCTCGTCGAGCAGGTTGTCACATCCACACAGCTGGAGAATCTCTTCCCGCCTCTGATCGTGTCAAATGTGGGCTCAGTCCCTCTGTTCATTATGTGGAGCTCCAGTTGATCCAGCTTAGCAGCCACTTCAAATCCCCTCTTATACGTCTCCCGGCTTCCCCACCAAGTACTCCAAGCGTTTATGTCTCCACCGAGTATCAGTTCCTAGGCCAACTACGGCTTTCTCAATCATATCCAGGTAAGGATCGACTAGTTTGTCTCCTTCCAGGTAGACGGACACCACTCCCATTTCCCAGGCCCCTGTCCTTAATTTAGCGACTGCTATGTTTTCTGTTGTAAGGTCAGGGCACTGGGTTATGCCAATGGTGTCGTCGAATAGCACAATGGCTGCCTTTATCACTTTGTCCGTTTTTAGGCTTCTGCTACATTGTATTACTCTTGTCCCTGGATGGATCTTCATTTCGCCGATACTACCGATGTATGGTTCCTGGATTAGGGCAAACGATGTGTTATTTTTGGTTGCCTCGATGATTAGTTCAGCCGTAGCTAGCTCGCTCCTTTGGAGGTTAGCCTGGATCACGTGATATCGGTGGTTACTTGGGTTTGAGTTCCTGTTCGGTCTGGAGCCCACCTCAACAATACGCCACAGTGGACCTAGCCAATGTCTCCCATTTTCTTCTTATGGGGCAGTCTACACTGAAGGCATTGTGGTCTTTTCTCTCCATTTTTGCCTTAAGACAGTTTCTACAAGACGGCATTTCGCCAGAAAGCCAGTCTGCACATTCTGCCTTAAGGTGTGGGCCTCCGCAGTGACTACAAACATCCGTTGTGTCACTACATAAACGCTTGGTATGCCCGTACCCCAGGCACCGCGAGCACTGTACGAGAGGGGACTGATCCTCTACCCTTACTCTCTGGAGGTCAATATGGATTAACCCGACCTCTATTAGGTTGTTCCATATCTGGGGTGACACTCTCACCACGGTATGCGTTGTGTGTGGGTTTCTGGATTTCCTCCTATATTTGACCTCCATTCTGTACTCTTTTTCCTCTATGTTTTTGAACAGCTGTTTGTTCTGTACTTTAATGGCTTTTATAATATCTTCATCTGTGTTATACTGAAGCACGTCCTTCAGTATAACCAGTGGATCCTTATTCTTTATGTCATCGACATTTAAACTCTTACTAGCGTTCTTTATCCTTTCCTTTACCCTATTTAATTCCTCCTGGGTGCTACATCCTACTATCACCTTCCTCTTGCTTTCCTGATCCTGTCTATTTTTAGCCCTTCTTCTTTGGCATTTATTGCTGTTCTTATCCGGTCTATCACTTGCTCTCCCGTTTCCTTCTCATCCGTCGATGTTATCGCTACTGAGTGCATAGTCAAATTATGCGGAGGCTGTCTCCTCGGTGGTCCTGCCAATATACTTGCGTACGTACCCTTCTCTTCCTTAGTTTCTTGCTTTTGTAATTCTTCTCTAAGTTTTTCCATTTCGTTCTTATTTTCTTCCAGGAGTTTGCCATGTTCTTCCAGCTTCTTTATTAGTTTACTATGTTCTTCTGACTTTCTATTGTCATAGTCTTCTACCGAATTGTCGTCTTTCTTTTCTTGCTCTTTTGTTTTTCTTTCTTTCCCTATGTTTTTGCCTGCCTCTGCTTCCTTGACAAGTTGGTAGAGTCTGTCAATCGCCTGGGTAACCTCAGTTTTTATGTCTGTCCTGAGGTAACGCGAGTTATTTAAATGCAATTTTGCCTTGTTCAGGCAAGCCCTTGCCTCCGTCAGGCGATCTATATATTTTGACGTCTCCATTTTTGGTGATTGTTCTGTAGACTCTACCAAGACTCTACGTGTTGCTCCTCTTGCTTCTTGTGTTTGTGATGGTACGATTTTATGCTTCTAGCGAGTCACCGGGACTGCCTTTTTGGGAGAGGTTTGTTTACCAACTTCAACAGCTGCTTTTGCTGCCTCCCACTCCCCGATGCTTCTCCTAACGCTAGATACTGTTATCGTTTCGTTTAATTTAGGAGATGCTTCAGTCCCCTCTGTCCCTTTCGGAGAGCCCTGAGTACTGTCCTCTGTCTTTTTGGAAGGAGTGCGGAAGCCAAACATTGTTAGGGGAACGCGTCTTCGTTACGTAATAAAATTTAAAATATTTTTTACCAAAAATAAATTTTTTGTAAAGTTATGAGATTAAAGTTTGTAAAAGTCATATATATTTTATACAGTTCGATACGGCTATAGTGAGTTCGTACAGTGGTATCAAGACTAGCTGACTACTGCAATAATTTTTATGTAGAGTCTCTATGTAGAGTTGCTCTACTATCTCTTTAATTAAATTTTTATATATGCAAAATAACACGGTCTATTTTGAAAATTCCTTCCAGCAGAAAAGTTAGTTATTATAAGTTAAAAAAATGTTAAAAGTGAAAGATAAGGTTGATCTATATACAGTTCGACACAACCACCGCGAACCCAGGTCAGGCCTCTGTCAAGTCCTTAACCGTATACAACATAAAATAAAGCCTTATAAATAACAAGTAAAATAAAATAAATTTAAAATAAAATGTGAAAAAATTTTTTGTAGAGTCTCGACTCTACGTCGTTATATTTTTACCACTCTACAGAGTGGCTCGACGTCTATATTTTAATAAATTCTGTGCTTGTCCAGTTTGATACTATATCGGTATGACTCTATGTAGTATCTGTTTATAAATACTAAATCTAATATAATAAAGAAACAGAAATACAATAAAAATAAAATTAATAATAAAGTTTTTTCAGAATAATAGAATTAATAAAAATAAAAAATTTTTTACTAAACAAAATACTTGGCTCTACCAAGAGTCTGGTCTTATTATCTATTGCTAACTATATCTATTTCAATTTTAAAAAATGTTTTTAAAATAATTTCCTTAAAGTTTTTTCTTTGCTCTACATAGAGTCATCTCTCTCTAAATCTTACTTTATGAAATGCACAGTTATTAAGTAACTTAATGTCTAAATTAATAAAATTAAAATAAAAAATAATATACAAAAAACACAAAAAATTTCTTAGAAGCTCTATGTAGAGTCCGTCCCCCTCTAATTTGTTAGGTCTTTAATTATCTTATTTTTTGCAAAAGATCCGGTCCAAATCGGAGTACTAGTTAATTTATTATAGCAATTTAAAGTTTTTCATCCCCCAGAGACTAAGTCGAAAAGTCAACTTAGGGGTAGGGGGTTGAAACTAGGTCCAAACGATGCGGTGGGTGGCGAAGACTATTCGGCTACTGAATAATGTGGGGGGGGGGTGACGAGGGGCGGCGAAGGAAAATTTTGTCAGAATTGAGCTAGGAGGCACCGTTTTCCTGTAAACTGAAAACACAGTTACCGTGCAGTTTTCAGGACCTCCCAGCTCACACAAATAAATTTATAGCTCTAAAACGGCTTATTGAAAATTCTGAAAAAATTAGTGTAGATATAATATTAGTTGTTCTATTATATTTTGTGATTAATAAATTTTGTGTCCTGAAAAATTTTTGAGTTTTAAAATTTTGAAATTTGGGTTATGAAAACCAAGAACCGCAAATAGCCTATAATTTATAAACTATTGAAATAAAAATTTTGAAATAATTCTGGGATAATGCAAATAGGTTTACAAATATTCCACAATTTTTTCAGAATTTCAGGAGTGTTTTTCAGGACCCACGTGTTTTTACAAATTTTTCAAATTTTTCTTAATATTAATATTTACACTCCAAAATTAAAACTTTTTATATAATTCGTTAAAACTCAAGTTCCTCTTTTAATTAATGTCAATATATATATATATATGTCGTCACTGAAAAACCAAAGTTATTCACCTTTGAAAGTTCCTGCTGAAAATCGGTGTCTTCAAGGCGTGATATCTCCGGTGTTTCTGGTCCGATTTTGATGATCGAGGTGTCGGATGCTTTGCCTCCATGTCCTCTTTGATTTGACGATGTCAAAATCAGCCGCACGGCCTCCAGTCAAAAAACACGTGTCCACGTGGTTTTTGTTTCCCGAAAATATTTCGGTGCGCTGACGTCGAAAAATTCCAATGAATAGCTTAAACTGTTAAGCTTGTCAAGGCGCTTCTTTTAACACTACAAAACTAATATGTCTTCGATCTAGATCGAGCAGCGTTTCACTTTAAAGATTTTAAAGGTCATAAAAATCAGTTTTTTGGCGATAACTTTTTAACTATTTCACTTTTATCACTTTTTTATTATATCACCGTCTTCGTCTCGACGAGACGCGTCTAACGGTGTATAAATCTTTAAAATTGGTGCACTTTGACCCGACACTTTGAATTTTCGAGCGCGGAGCGATATAAAATTGCTACGTACGGCACGGCGTTTGGAGTGCAACTGGTTAGGTTAGGTTAGGTTAGGTTCCCCCCCGAACGGGTTCCCGCCTTGTCGTGGCGGGGGTGCTTAGTAGCCGTGGCTTGGTCACCCACGGTGAACAA